TTAGCACCTAGACGGTCAAATACACACAAAAATGTGTCAGAGTGCGGAGCTTAGTGATTATTCACGTATACCCTCATTGGTTATATAATAAATGAATGTAAAGAGTTGAGAATGAAAATACTTGTGTAACAGTAAATTGGATCCGTGTGGCTCTTAAAGTGATAGCGGGCTATATTCCTGCTGCGACTGTGTGCTTAATATTAATCAAACAAAAGACAAATTAAAAATCCACACACTGCTCTTGAGTGAAGGACTTTGTAGGCTTTTTTATTACTGGCATTGTATTCCTTTGCTTTTTTTTATTACTGGCAGTTTAATTATTTTCAATAATTGAGGACCTTTTTTGTTGTTGTTTTTTTAACTAATATTAGTTACTCTGGTATTCTGCTGTGGTATTGAGAATTGTGACATTTCGCTGGTCTCTATAATGTAGATGTCATAGCAACCTTATTTACAGAAAATATATATTTGATATATATCACTCTTTAAATAAATCTTTCATATAAAGTTTTGGTCTTATGGCCCACTAATAATCGTTTTAAATAATCGGGATTACAATATTGACCAAAATAATTGTGATTATGATTTTTGTCATAATCGAGCAGCCCTACTTGTGATGCAGCTGTTTGTATTCAATGGATACTACAGGGGAAGCAGCATTTTCACTGTAAGTGGCCTTATTATGTGTCATCTGTATGCTCACATTTATAGGATCCTTCCAAGCATCAGCAAATGCATTAGTGATCGGTCTGTATGCGTAATAATGCAGAACAGCTTGACTGGACGCAGCCCGCAGTTTATTTTATTCTGTTGTTCATTTTTATATTAAATATTTTGAATTTTTATTTTTATATTTTCTGATATTTGATATATAACACTATCTTTAAATAAATCTATCATATAAAGTTTTGGTCATATTGGCCCACTAATAATTGTTTTAAATAATCGTGATTACAGTATTGACCAAAATAACCGTGATTATGATTTTTGTCATAATCGAGCAGCCCTAATGTAGTCTGTAAATATGCACATAGCTTGTTACACAGACGGATGTTTGTGCTGCTTGATATATAAAATAAAGTAATATAATTCACTGCTGTATAACAGCATATTGCTGTTATAATTCAAGATTTTAGCAATTCAGTTGAAGTGACTGCAGGTTACATTGAAGTACTATTTCAGAAACAGAAAATATGTAAATGAGAACTGCTTTATTGGGCATTTAGTTATAAAAATGCAGTAACGTTACTGTATGTAATCATTCAGAGAGTAAACACAAGTACGACTTGATGACGTCATGAATATGATAATTACATTTACATTTTACATTTAGGTATTTAGCAGACGCTTTTATCCAAAGCGACTTACAAATGAGGACAATAGAAGCAATTTTTTTTTTAAGTAAATAGAATAGAAAAAGAATACAGGACGTTAGTGTTAAAGAATAATTAGCATATATAAAGTTGAATTGTTCTATAAAGTTATAAGCATGTTTATTAAAAACAAGTTTTGTAAAAACAATTATTCTGGACCTTTTGATGTTGTTGAGAATTCAGATTCGGACATTTGAATGTAGAGAACCCCTGGTTTATCTATTGTTCCATTGTCTTTTTATCATTATCTTTTTCTATCTATCAATCGATTGTTTGTTATATCTTTCTGTCAGTCTGTCTGTCTGTCTGTCTGTCAGTCTGTCAGTCTGTCTGTCAATGTATGTTTGTGAGGGAGTGCTCTGTGTGCACGTGTGTTTGTGTGTGTGTGTGTGTGAGGCAGAACTTCATTAATGAAAAGCACCCAGATCTTGAGTAGGAGCTGCAGGGTAGTCCACAGTTAAATCATGTGGGTTCTCCGGTTTGTGGCACCTCCATCAGCTTAATTCATTTCACTGAGCTGGAGCTCTGAGCGCTGTGAGCAGCCTCTGTACATACAGTACTTGCTCTTCAGTCCTTCTGTATGTACTCTTGCAGCACCACCAATTATTATATTATTATTATTGTGTTGTTTATAGTCTGTCTTCTGTCTTCCTGTGACAGGGATAAGGGTGGAGGCTGGAGTCTCGTCGGGGGAATGTACGTTAGGAATGGCAGGAGTGCCTCAGGGCTCCGGCCACGGCCGTCTGCTGTTCCCGGAGATCTGCTTGATGGAGCTGCAGCTGTTAGCCAGTGGCTCTCCAGACCTGGAGGTTTTGGGCCATGTTTTGCAGAGCCTGTTAGGAGCCGTGAAAGGCCACCACAACAACGCAGCGTTGCTCTACCAGCAGGTCAGACTCTTATCTCATGCCAAACTGATTTATTTATGTATGCGATTACATATTAATGCTACACAGTGACATATCTTATTCCAGAAGACCTTTTGTCTATGTTACCTACCTTCAATTGGTAGAAAGTTTTGTTCCAGTAACCAGTTGAAAGAGTATACTTGAAACCAAAGAATCTATGTAGCAGGAGCAATATGACCTTATGCAAACCTTTGAGAATTTGAGATTTTTTGTTATTTTAGCTCTAAAAGAAGAGTCTGGATTTTAAGCCTTGCAGCTGCATTTCGAAAGCTGTTTATGATTTTTATTGGAGACATCTTTATAGGTTTTATGAAGTATTGTGATTTATTGTTGCTTTGTACCCTTGTCAATAATGGTTTGCACACTCTGGCGAGCTGGATTAAATCATCTTTGCTGTATTTATGAAGAAATGTGATCCATCATGCTCTTTCTCTTGTCAGGGTGGTGTGAAAGCTATTCTCACTGGATTTCAGAACATTCTCAGCCAATCAGATGCCTCCTATAAAGGTGTATATTATTTATACTTAAATTATGCACATTTCCTCTAATTATCATCACTGCAATGTGCCCAGATTTTTTTGTCTTAATACTTTTGAGTTTAATCATAATTCGCATTATTCTCAAGGGGTTTCTTACAGTATTTTACTGTATTACACAAAAAATACTGCAATACAATTAATTAAAAAAATTAACTCAAATTTAATGAAAGGCAGTACAACAAATAAAAATTTATACAGATTTTTTAAATATACATATATTTATTTTAATATTATATATTACTTAAAAATTAATATAATAAATATTATGTGAGAAATACAAATTTATTTTATAAAAATATGTATTATTTTATAAATATAATAAATTTATAAATAAATTCTTTATAAATAATTTTGCTCTACTTCATGTCCTTTCCCATGATCCCTGGCGCAGGGGTCCCTGGCTTGAGCTCCTCCCCTGGGATGAGGCCTCATGGGACAGCTGGTGGTAAGGGTGGAGTAAACACTCTTTTGAGGGGTAAATTACCCCTGGGCCGTGGTGAAGCAGACCTGAGCAGGCCCGGTCATCTGCGCAGCTCTCCCTGGCATACGGCACCCTTCCACCTGCCTCTGGTGGGACAGAACTGCTGGCCTCACATGGCGAGTGGCTTCAGTGCCTCACTGTGGGTACGAGTGGGGAAGGATGAGGACGGGCGTTACAAGAAGGGTAAAAAGCGCTTTATATATGTAATACTGCAGATTAGTATTTTAGTATTAATTGATATTTTTAATTCTTTTATTTTTGTCATTTTGTATATTCAGTTTTCATTTTAATTTGTTTTAGTAATATTGTTGTGATTTTTAAAAATCTTTTTTATTATTTTTTTCTGTTCTATTTATTTTTCTTTTTTATTTCAGTTGTAGTAATTTTAATACTTGAGCTCAAATTTTATTTGTTATAAAATGTATAATTTTATTTATTTTAATTAATATTTAAGAAATTTTAAATAATTTGAAAATGGATTAA